AAATGTGCACCAATGTGATGAGCTAGTTCTTCAGTATTTCCTTGTCCTTCGGCACAAAATATCGTCACCACTTTACTCTCTAACTGTTCCTCTCGTTTCCGTAATTCATGCTTCTGTTAAACTTATTACGGCAATAAATTTTCAGCGTATGAAGATAAAAAATATGGAATTAATTAAAAGTAAACAGAAAGCCCATAATCAGTATGTCTCAGTTTATAAAACAAAATGTCACCTCGACATATTTGGTGTATAATTTGTGGGCATATTGATAAAAGATATAAACACACCCAGGCATGAAAATACCAACGGCTGCAGTAACATATAATAATACATCATCATGTTCTGTTGCTCGCATAAAATTAGCCAAAGTGGATTCACGAGCTAAATATGTCGACATTACTTTGCTGCAAAACAAAAGAAATAACCATAGTCAAATTATATTATCAGACAAAAAAAGCGCAATTAAGCCATTGTGTATTATCTGCGTTTGAATAGATGACAAAAATTTCGTCGGATGAATAATTGCTACTGAAAATAAATCAAAAACATATCATAGTAAGAACTGCTTGAAACTTTATAATTTCGAAATTACTAATATTACTAACAAACGTACTACTTTTTCGATATTACTGGCAAAAGTGAGCAGGTAATTCTGTAATTATAATTCCCATCAGCAAAGATAATTTTAAAAAAGAAGCACAAATAACAATTAGCAATGATAAGCAGCTTTTTAAAATGAACAACATTCCAAAATTGAATTAGTTATCTTTATTACTATTATTTGAAAGCAATTCATATATATATCAATACAATACAATACAGTTGGACCTATGCGGCTTATGTCTACGATTAAGCATGCCACTGTCAGCGGAAGTGGCATGATAAAGGACTGATAATAATAACACTGCTTCAAATGATGCACCTTTCTTTCTTCATATTCAAATGAAGTTAACATTCCCATTATATCTCTCATTATCACATAGTAACACCAATGACTGATAAGGAATTATGAGATTACAAATCTTTAGAATGTGAAATAGCATAAAGACAAGAATGTATACAATTATTACGCAATAAATAATAATTAACTTCCTTCTGCAAATTTTAAAAAACTAATGAAGAAAAGCAAATATGTTTTAAAACGTACTATTACTGTTGGCTACTCGATAAAAGAAGATTAAATATAAATATAAACTTTATCTCTTTTTCTTCTTTTTTCTCTTCATTTTTCCATGCTTTCCAGCATCTTGCATGCATCCTATAACACATGTCCTGAGGTTCTAATCATTATGAAATGCACTTTGATCTCGACGAATCTAAAAGAACTTGTTATACCACATTATAATTTCCCAATGCAACTGACACAATATTACAATAACATTACAGGCGACAATTTGAATCAAAATAAATCTTCTAAATATAAGATGCGGAGAAAGCAGACAGTGCTTCGGTCTTCATATTCTATAATAAACAAGTTGTAATCCTTATGAAGTTCTGTATGACTTAGATAAATTTAAAATAACTTATATTTATTATGCCATATCATAATTTCCTTACGAAACTGAAAAACAACTAATAAACATTAAACGAAAGTAAATAACTGTAATTAAATCGTTTGAAACAACTCATCAAAAATATTCATCAGAACACAAACTGTAAAATAAACAAACAATAAGAACTAATTTAGAAATATTTATAATTCATTACGGGAGTAGCTCATCAAACAAAAGTAAATTCTTTCTAAATTAGATAAAAAATCTCAATTACATTTCCAAATGATATTTTCAAATTAAAGCATGGAAAAAAGAAATGGTCTGGCGCAATGAAAAAGATCCAAGTCGGGATCTAATGAGCGTCCCAAACCTTCCAAAACTATAACTGCTAACACAACTGTCGTAAATGATGGATCCAGTGCAACTTCATGACGACTCACGATTGAAAATAGTTCATTTAACATTTCCGATATATTCAGCTATAAATCATATTTAATTTTTCTTTGACAAAACTCAATTTTTTTTGCAAATTTACTATATTTTTTTTTGCAAATTTACTATATCCGGTATTATTTTATTTATTTATTAACATACAACTTAAAACAGTTGCGTTGCATAATTCAGAATTTTAAACAACGGCAATCTCATCACTCTTCCAGCAGCTGTAAATAAATAGTAAAGAATACTTACTTCTAAGATATTCTTCTACCTAACATAGTTCTAATTGAAATCCGAAAACCATGTCATAGAGTAAACGGTCCGCACAATTATGTCAAAAAAAACACAGCTGATCATTAACCGGCAGAAAGACTGGTCTAAGCAACTTATGGATTGATCTCATGAGTCAAACATAACAAATTTGTAACTTCTACAGTAAACATTGTTCACAAGACCCAGTCACGGCCATTTCCCTCTATGCCATTTATGATCACAGCATAACTTATAGACGAGACTTATAGACTTATAGCAAACTTATAGGCGAGCTGTATAAGAAAATACCGTGACAGACTTAATTTAACAACAGCATACCCTTCTCAAATCGCTTTTGGTGCGTGCTATTTGAACAATCTGATCCACTTCATCATAAAATTGTTCTGGATTTTTGCAGTGCTGCTTTGGCGAATGTAAGAGTAATAATGCACCAACATCACGACCCTGCAATTTATAATCATTCACCATAAATTATTCCATCTCACATACACCAATAATTTTCGTTTCGAAGCCCAACGATGCAGAAAAGTTGCAGCACTTTGCCATCAGAATTGAACAACATCTGACGCTTCATTTCTAGACAGAGTAACATGATTCACGTACGTTCCAGTGGTCCGGAAAACTTTAAGGTATCACCATAACGGAATGATTGTCCTTAACGTTAGCAACCAATATATTAGTAACAAAATAGATCCATACTGTTGGTACTTTACTATACTTCCATAATATTAAACACATTCATACAGGTATTAGACTACTAACTCTTTTATCGACAACTGCTCGAAAAAGAAGACGAAGTTTTTGCAGATTCTGTGCTGTTTCTTCGAGGGCAATGCCCGTATCCAATATGACTAGCATCGGTTCTCCGGATTCATCGAGATCGTAATCATCATATGAGATCCGGATACCATCACTCACAGTGAGAAAACTTTTTAATATATTTTTCTGGAAATATAGACGCATTTAAATTAACTATTGTAACTTATAAACACTCGAATAATGCACTTGACAATCGGGCAAATGACTCGGTATATATAAAGAATACTATTAACACTGATAGTGGATAATTTTGAAGCACAAAAACAGATGAAATGTGAAGATAAGATACAAGAGATTTCAATCGCCGCTCCCTAAATGCAAAAAGTAAACATAAAAATGGGATGTGCTAACAAACCAATTCGTTAACTGAAGTTCGAAAAGAATTAAACAACTTGGTCGACCGCCGATCAGGAACATCAAGTCTAAATAATTTTAAAGGGTAAATTTTTCAAAAAGCAAAAATATGCCTGTTTTACATCCACAATCTTTCCACTTTGTTTAAAGCAAACGTGTAAGAATAAACCTTAAAAGTATGTTGCCGGGGTGAAGATCGCCATGTACAAAATTATCTACAAAAATCATTTTCAACAATGCTCTTACTCCAATGAGCGCAACTTTCTTCTTCAATTCATTTTGTTCCATCTACAAAGGATAACAGTTTGCTTTAAGTGGTTAACAACCGATAGAAGTACTGTTTATCTTATGCGACCACATTTCTGAAGTATGAAAAGACAAGCTGTCAATAACTGTGATGCAGTACCATCTGTTCGTCAGTAACTAATTTGTTGATGTATAGCCCATTTTCAAAAGTTTCGATAATGACATCTCTAGAATAGCATACGACTTCAGGAAACCGTACTCTTGTTTTATCGGGATCAAAATTACGACCAAATCTCTGTAATCAAACAGAATCAGGATTTTAAAATAGTTTCCCTCTCTAAGAACAAAAGAGATTTTAAAGAAGTAAGTATAGCAGAATTACGAAGGAGCTGCTGCGTTCTCAAAGAAAGCATTTCTTGAGTAATAGAGGCTCCACATTAACAGTAATATTTGCGAAGACTTTTTCTACTTATCAAAAAAATGTTTCTATATTGATAATTATTAATTAAAAAAAAAAAAACTTGCTTTCAAAGCTCTTGCTTCGTTTCTTAAATCCACCTGTAGCTCAAGCACTTTTTTGAATTGATTTAAACAAGATGTTGGATTTATACACGATAATCGAGGCATGATCATTTCCATCAAGAGAACAGCACATTGTATTATCGACAAATCAATATCAATGCTTTCGCGGATTCCATCTTTTGCAGTCTAATCGAAATAATCGCAAAAATGAATAATGTATCTTTAACTAATAAAACTCAAAACGGTTTTCTTTCAAGAATTAGAAATATTTACTTTAATCGCAACGTCAATATATCGATTCTTCGCAAATGGTAAATGTATTCCCGTAATCTCTTCGAAAGCATATACATCAAGCGTACCTTTATACACCTGCAAAAACGGGATTCGAAAAGAATGTAAACTAAAGAATCACCAACATTACTACTGGATCCAATACGACTTAAATCGCAATCAAAAACATGCTCTGAGAGATGCCAGTAAATATAAGTGCAATGCATAATTTAATGTAGATTGTATCAGGTAATGAGCTGATGGAACTGGTAGTCTACAGTGTAGTTAAAATCCCTGGTTTTAAAGACGATAAAACTATGAATACAAGTAGTTATAAAATTGGCTGATTTTGAAACTTATTTCAGACTTTCACAACTACTTTTTATTCTCTTTTACCCCTCCCTTCATTTTTTCTCCCTAACACTCACTTATATGATAGCTATTCTAATTCACTCTTGTTATGAAACTCTTGTTATAACAGTTAAATATGTGTTATAAACACATATTTAACTGTTGCTGTACCTCAGCAATACATCCGGAACCAACAGGATCAGTTTCTATTGACACAACAAAATCTTTCCATCGAGAATCGCCAAATAAATCGTCGAGTGCATGTTGCAAAAGGTGCCATGGACGACATGTTGTTTTTGTATGCAAAACTGACATCTTCGTAGACAAAATATTATTACATTTTAAACAAAGAATTAATAATATTGAGATTTATTCCAAGAATTGAGATATGTGCTGTAACAAACATTAATAATACTGAGATTTAACTTGAGAACTAAGATGGATGGGACGGAAGTCTATTTTTTCCTAGAATATGAAGCATTTAATATAGTAACTTACTCTGTCACAAAAACGTTTCGAGAAGATATCGCGCCGTGTACTTCCCCATTGACCTAATTTAATAAAGGTAGGACCACTTCGCTGCAATATCCACAACAATGACTTCCACCATAATTCCTCAAAACCACTCCAAAAACACGCAACTGGAAACGTAATCAACAACGGAGTGAAGAATAATAATAATGATACTATCCTGAAAAGATAGCTTCTGATGAAAAAGTAATTCCATACTGTTATTCAATTCCATGAAAAAAAATAAGATAAATGATTCCAAAAAAATGAGAAATGATCAGCTTATTCTTGCTTCAATCATGATATAAAGTATATGCTTGTCAAGCATTAGACTCATAAGAATATACTGTGATGATAAGAATTTAGAAAGTTTAACATGCGAAAAGAATGTCCGGGAAATTCTAGTATGCTCTAATAGAAGTAAGAAATCATCAAATATTTATCCTTGTTAAACAGTGGTATATTAAATCAATTTGTGTGTTCGAGACAAAACCACAGAGTGCACAATTGTGCTCTCCTTATACTTAATGCACACATATTTTGTTGGAAAGCATGTCCTAAGCAACCCATTTAAATTTAAAACATCCTGGTCAGTAATACATAAAAGTATGAAACAGGGAACAAATTTGAGAATAATTGTGATTATAATTCAAAAAAAAGAAAGGAAAGGTGACAAAAATTAAACACTATTAATACAAGAACCAATAAAGAATTTAACGCTATTAACATGAGAACAATAAAAACTGAGCTAGATAAAGTACAAATTCAGCTTTTGCAAATAATGTCAATCAATATTAATCCGATTAATTTTGGCTAATTATCGGCAAATAAACACAAGACATATTCGGTTATTAATTGCTATCTGCTCTCTCTCCTTCTTTGTTAAAATATAACAAATCTAATTGAAAATCACTCTGCAATTCAAGCATTCAGGATAAGTTGGATGTAACTATGATAAGATAAATTAAATGAAAGCGAAACAAACGTAAACGCAGTAATACCTCCAAAAACTTATGATGAATAATTCGTTTTTGAATTTTTTCATAACAAAATATAAGCAAAACCTTAGCATTATTTTGACTGTTCGTAGAGCCGTTCTGTACAAATACATGATCATACGGATGCTGAGAGAACCATTATCGTGTGATGCTACTTCAACACATGATGCAGTAACCAACCATGGATCCTCTTCCATTACCTTCACCTGCACTTATAAATTAATTTAGGTAGTCGCTAATGTTAATATAACGCTATATTAATTCGCATTTATGTGAAGTTATTTGACATTGAATCCGTTATTAAAGCTTAAGATTAATTTTTAATAAATAAATTAATGGATTCAATCTACGACAACTTCACATGAATAAGTGATTAAATATAGTCAAGAAATTAAGGAAAAAGTGGAAGCAATAAGCATTTAAATGAATCTTTTTCGACAATACTGAAGCTATTCTTTATCAATATGAAAGAGAAAAATAATGCGTCCAAATTATCAGAGGAGCTAAGTACTACAACAATATCATCTAGCACTCGTAAAGATACTGCACGAGTACACTGAAATATCTACCAATAACTTCCAACAATGAAAACTTACCAACTGATCTTTACAGAGGGCACTTTGTATAATCGGTTTAGTCAACAGACCATAGCAGAGTAGTAATCCATTACATAATTTTGGTTTTCTTCGTACTGTCCGCATACAGAACACATTAATTCGTAGGGAAAATATCCGGAAGTGTTTTTGGCATTTGGTTGATATGACACATTTCAAGAGTTGCTTTATAGCATTCACCGATTCTAACATCTATTCCTTAAGAAATTTGCAATAAATTCTTAGATTTTTTTTTAGTAAAATAAATACACGGCTACGTTAAATATATGACTGTCACTGCTGGAAATGTACTCTACTGAACAATTGAACATCGCAGTAATATTTTTGGCACAACTTCCAATTGTTTATCAGAAATGTTTTATTCGTTGACAGAAATTTTCTTCAAATTATTACATCATATAAAAAAGAATATAAAAAATAAAACAAATGTAAGATTTAAAAAATATATGCCTTATTAAATTTAATATCATTTAATTTATTAATTTACTTGCGATTATACACTCAACTTCTAAATTATATATAAAATAATAGAAAAATTTGAAATCAAAATACACATTAGTAATATTTAACATCGATTATATCTTGAGCATTCAATTAATTGTACAATAAGAAATAGAAGCGTAGAAATGAAGTTGGTACCTTATCCTAGACTGCCGCATCATATATCATATGTCAGCTAGACACGTAACGAAACAATACTACAATCTCATCATTAAATTTTCTTAAATCGAACAATCTCGGTAACGAAGCACAGTAAAAAGTTGCTACAGATTACTGAACACAGTAGTGACCACATCCAGTTGGGCATTTTTTGTTTGAAGCAAACCACTCTGCATAATGATGAGGATGACCACCATGTGTGCATCCGCGACACCAGCTCCAAATACCGTGAACTGGCAAAGAACTGAAATATGCCACTATTGGAGTCTTATAACTTCAATCGCATTAACCGACTCACTTTATTATCTTAATAAAAAGTGGAATTTCGATGATATCGATTTAAATTTTATCATCGAAAAATAAAGGAAAAATAAAGGAAAATAAAGTACCAAAGGGAACAGTTAAAATTGAACTTTTTGAGACATTTCTTGCAGTAGGGTGACGATGTCACAGACACAGTCTTGCATTTGGAACACAGTAGTTTAATCGAAGTACTCTGAAATACGTAATCGTAAATTGATGGTATTATTAAAGTTTGCATAAACTCATCAATCACAAAAATTGATAAGTCATAACAAGATCAAAGTCAGAAATAAATGATTGGAGTTTAACAATCTACTCTAAATCACTGATTTAAGAAAAATAGCTCGTTCAGTGGAGGATTACAGGGCAAACAATTGCTTCAATCTTAACATTGCCAAGCAAATAAGTTGGAGACTGAATATTTGAAATACGAATAAATACCTCGTTGCTTAGATTACTAACAGCTGCAATCCAACATAATTTGATTACTTCAGCGGCTGTATTCCATAATTCATAACATTCAAGCATATCTATGTAGCACATTTTATTAAATCAACATAGTATTTATTAAAACTTTAATTCAATTGATCGAAAAAAAGTTATTAAATTTTCAAATTATCCGGTCAGGAAAATATGACAATTTCGGATTCAATTATTATTTTCTTCAATTTTCAACAAATTCCAGAAACAAAATATGTTTTTATAACCAACATTATTTATACACTCTTATTCCTCTCATATACAATCAAAGAATTTTTAATGTGCTGAAGTTTATCGTCCATAATCGAAAGGAGTTTTTTGATTTATATCAACACAACATAATATTACGAAATTAGTAAGAGTTTTAAACAACATATGTATAACTCAATAATTACAGATCTAAAATACAATACTTACCGATATAATCCAGAAACCATAGCTTCTGAGTACTTAAATCGATGAATTCCTTCGATTTTTCTCCCAATACCAGTAGCACAGATACGCATGTTTGTACATCACCCTGTAAAACAATAGCACTCCATATATAGGTCTCATATTGCTTGTTCTATTTTATAGTTATATATAGTTGCTATAAAATATTAAAGCTACCTAATATGTTCAATCCAATTAAGAAGATAAGGCTGAAGTTTTTATAAAGCAGCACACAATCTTAACTTTAAATTATATATGTTTAACTTACAAAATGCAAAAATCAATCTGCTATGTTTCCAATTCCATAAATTAGAGTTCAAAACTCTACACGTCTCACCATGTAACTGCCTCATATCATCCAAAATAAGCTTAATTTACTTAAATATTACTGGGAACTTGAATCAAATTTTCGATGAAATATAATTAAAAGCATACCAAATCAGAGTAAAAATTGAACATAGAACATAATAAAGGGAGTGGGTCCCACGATGGAGTACAGGCAAGCTCAGCTCTGATTCTCAAATTTCCTTAAAAAAAGAAATAGCAATAAAACTTATTCGAACTTAACTACAGGATATTCTATGACTCTGGATGTATTACTTTTGGCTTTCTCATTAAGTTGCTCCAGTTATTTCAGTAATTTCGACAGCTAATTTTTCATCTTGATAACTAGCTACTTACAACTATTGTTATACTTATATTCAAAAATTTTGCATCATTTCTGGGATTTTTCTGCGACCGCTTTATAAAATGAAAAGTTTAATAGCCAGCATCGTGAATTCTGAAGTCGCTACCAATGCACAGCGGTATCAGCATTATTTCATGATAAAGAAGATATAAGTTGCTAAATCTTAAAATCAACGAAACTGTAACGAACCTCTCATAAGCTTGTTCCAGTGTACATATAATCACACAGCTATCTATAGAATTCAATATATTATCTTCTTGCATCATTTCATAACTGAGCCCTATATAAAAAAAATATCGAGCAAAGAAAAGCTACCAATCTGACATCGTTTCAGTTCGCTTGTATGATTTGGCATTCTGTTATCAAGATGTTCTTCGGAACTCGGAGAGCAACTTGTTTCACCACCATCAAATTCTTCATACGGTCGAGGTGTAAAAGCTTCCATCTTCAAATTTGCTGGAGCTTTGAAGTCACTGCAGAAAAAGCACTTCAAAAAACTAAAATTTCGAATCAGTGCTTCATAAAACTAGCATATGACTCATAACATTAAAGGAGTCTTGTTTCCTTAATGGAATCATTGGTTGTTTATGCTTAAGATCATGTAACTATGTTTAGAGCTGAGTTTACTCTGAAAAAAAAATAGAAAACTTGGAGGAAATTTTCGAAACTTTAATTACTAACTACGAAAGTGTGAATTCGGAAAGATCGGTATTCAGTCCGTCAAGATTCAGTTCATTATCGCCGAAAAAGAAATCTGATGAAGTAGAAGCCATCTGTGGGATTACGCCGGAAAATATCGACTCTGTAACATCTTGGCCATCCACGTTTCGTACCACTCCACCAGATGATAAACTTGAGGGAAAGCGAGATCGCGCTGCCGCATCGCTCACACTAGCACCATTATCTTTAGCTCAACGAAACTTTTCTAAGTCCAATATCTAATAAATTCATCTTGTGCTGCTTTTTTGAAATTTCGAATCGTGATATTCAATTAGTAATCTGCCAAAAAATATTTTAAATTTTTGGAGAAAGAAGGAAAAAAAGCTTAAACAAACGAAGCAGCTCATAGTGCAAAAAAATTATTCTTTGTTTTATCAGTGCTTACTGTCTGTTTCATGATTGCCAAGAGAAGTTTCTGCGCTTGATGGTTTTTCAAAAAATGAGGTAAATGTACAGATAAGACCGACTATACGCCATGTATGAGCAATATCATATTTCTTTATGTCTTCAGCTATACGACTATTATGAAAACATAATGATGAAGCGTCTTCACCGTATAGTTTGTACCTAAATAAATGTACGTTATGATTATCGTACAGCTGGTGGAATTGACTGTAAATTTGCAAATTTTCTATCTCAAAGAAAATGAATATAAAGTCTTTATCAAATGTAATAATCAGTTGTAATAATATAAAGCATTGAATTGCTTAAATAGAATAAATAAAATGAAAATGCTACTTTTATCGATTAGAGGAAATAGTAAAAATTATGTCTAGAGAAAAAATTTGACTATGAAATCTGTTAACCTTTTAGCTAAAACAACAAAATGCTGTGGTGAAACTTCAACATTTGTTTTAGTTGGTTCACAGCAAATCAAATAACTGGGAATGCTCGACTGGAACGGATCATACTTCCGCCTCCTTGGTGCGAATGCTTCACCTTTTCGCGCTTTTTCCCGTTCAATCAATGACTCATTTTTTAGATCCAACTGACTGCTTACTAGAATATTACAAACCATTCATTGGAAATTTCTGAACATTGTGTCATCTCATTTTTAGTTCTCAAAAAATTTTAAGAACTAAAATACAAAATTGAAAAGGTAGCTCTCTGGTTGGATCTACTGGGCTTTTTATTCATCGTTACAGAAGCATTTTCTTGATTCGTTATTTCCTGCTTCTACAAAAGAAGCTCATTTTATATCTAAAGTAAATTATCTGCTGTTCGTTTTCTCGATCGGATGAAAACCGTTCTAGATCTCTAGAATTTGAAGTGAGACTTAACAACTCAAAAATATACCTTTTTTGTAATATTTGCGATAAAAAATGCATGTACATTTGAGGCACACAAAGACAGCCATTACCTGCAACAGCTACGGTACCAGCAGGTGATATGTCAACTGCGACATCACTCACGTGGTTCATTGGATGATGCGCATTTTCCACAAAATGCATTACCAATAAACCATCCTTGCCGGCTGATAGAAATATTTCCGAATCGTCCTCTTTCCAAGCCAGATCTAGAAAATTACACATTCGCATTGTTTATTTATGACGTGTAAATGGATGAAAGGTATAATTAATGATGTGCAGCTTTAAACTTACCAGAGCATATATCACGATGTTCATCAAAACTAGCAAATGGCAAAAATGGTCTTCGTATATCCCAAACGTGTATATTTATATCGCTTACCACAGAACAGCTAGCTACCTAAAAACAATATTGTGACTAGACTTGGTATAAACAAATTATTATTGGTTACTCCCACTAAAAAGTTGGACTAAATTTATAAATACTTATCAATATCAGTAAAAAATATTTAAATATCTTCAAGCTACCTGGTATTTGTGCATTGGCCTCCAGAAGACTCGGGAAACAGATGCTGTAGCTTCCATTGAATATATCGATGAATTTAATTGACAATCAGAACGATCAAACCATTTCCAGATCTTTAATTTTATCAGTAGTTCTTGAAATATGACTATCAAGAGACACAAGTTGTTCATACCAAATTGATTTTATTTCTTCAAAAATCAGTTATTCTTTCTTGAGAGAAAATTATACCCTTATAAATTTATCTCTGCCAGCAGTTGCAATTAGATTCTGATCGTCATAACTTGGATTTAGTGCAACACTAGATGGACCATGGTGTGCTACAAACTGGTGCAGTGGTCGGTCATTTTTACGCAAATCCCAGAAACGCACAGAACCACCATCGTCTGCAGCTACAAATATATCATAGTGGCTAGGATGAATACCGAATTGCATATCACGAACAGGGTCACATGAACCACTCCTGAAAACAAATTAATGAATAAAATTTAATTTAAAATGACTTATGTGGTAATGTGAAAACCTAAATGCCTTGCGAAATTTTTGAAAAATGAATAAACCGCCATCAGAAGTGTTTTATAATAGCAAAACATATTGTTTATAGTAGCAAAATGTTTATAGTAGCAAAACATATACAAACACAAAATATTGTTGCAAGAAACTAGCACAACTTACATAAATTTCTTGACTGGTTCCGGCATCCGAAAATCATATTGAATCACTGCTGCATCTTTGGCTCCACTAATTAATATGTTGTGATCAGTCTGATGAAAGCATACTTTAGTCGCTGAACGAGTATGCGCCTTATAGGTGCGGTCTGCAAACAATTCATTGCTGCACTTATATAAAAAGTATCTAAATTATCTTCCAACAGTCATTTTAAGAATTTTTTTGTATGCTTTTAAATTAATCTCTTTTCATGTTATTTCACTTATCAAATCAAAGAATATAGCAAAAAATAATACGCAAGGCAGCTTTATCGACATTCCACAGGACCACAGCTCCATTCGTTGATGTTGTAGCTATCATATTATCTAGAAAGAATGGCCTCTAAAAAGAGATTTAATATTTACAGTATTTCAGTGTCCTCTAAGATAACATCTGAAACTTCTTAAAGTAATTTAATTATCAAAATTGGAAACCATAGAACCATAGAGATCTATTGTAAGTATCCTGGAAGACCACATTTAATATAGCTTTCGCCTTTTTCTATGTTATATATCATAACTAACTAATTTCTATATTATAATTGATTTCAAAAAAATACGACTTTTGCCAAGGAAATGACTGTTTAAAAGTGAACCGATTATATGACTCCATGATACATGACTTGCTGAATACATTAAATTCAATCGTCGACTACGTACTGAACGAAAGTCAGCAACGAAATTGAATCCATTCTCTTCGATTGCAAAAATTTTCAACACTGGAACATCGCAAACATTTAAAATATTTTTTCTGATATTTTAGAAAGGTATTGCAGAAGCTAATTTTGATCAAATATCTATTTAATTAAATCAAAATAAAAGAGGAAAAATGACGAACATCCCTTACTGCCAGCAGCTGCTACTTGCGTGAAATATTTATTTGGAGCAATCGAATCAATTTGTTCTTGCAAATCGATAATGACACTTTGACGATGACCCTCCTTTCCTACAAGCATCGGTTCTCTGAAACGCAATTCATTTTAAAAGCAGAAAAAGAAACCACCTATGGTAAGAAATCTGTTTCAGACCTGAAAGACCTCAAAACAGCAAAGCTCCAAAAACTTCCACTCGAACATCATGCAAATACATTCTAACATTTCCGTCGAATGTGTATATGTAATTGCAAATAGTTGATAATTGTACTTCCAATGATCCCTCACCACATTCTCCCAATATCAGTACCACTTCTCAGTTTTCAATGCAGCAGCATTTTTAATGAATATAGGAGCTTTCTTTACAGCTGCAGTTTTTCCTTCACAAAATATTTCCTCCTTTTGTATAAAAAAAAATAGTATAGAAATTGAAATTCACGTCAGTTCATATCGATTTTGGGAGATCATTTAAATACATTTGGGTATATGATAGAGGAAGATAATTGCCATACTTGAAAATTTCCAAATGCAAATCAAAGAATTTACTTCAAACATTCATTACACGTACACCGAGCATTAACTGTTATAGGAGAAAGTAACAAATACATCATTCACTCAATACTTTTCAATCCTTGAATATTAACACTCCGGACCTTTTTGATATCCGAATTAATTAAATCTTCGAACTGCTCCAGTAATTGCTGGCTTGGCTACAAAAAAATAGATAACGGTAATAGAAAGAATAAACGCATCATCCATGCATACAAATAAGAACTTTGATTCGCTTCAGAAATGTTACTTCGGAAATCTTTATGTCTACAACACTAAATAAAAGTAGCAAATTACGAACAATACTCACTATTTTATCGAAGGAAAGGAAATCATCGTATGATACTTTGCAAAGAGCATCAATCAACTTCTTTTTTTTAACATTCAAATTTTCAATCAGCGGCCTATTTTTAACTCGCTTTCCATCTTCCTGCTCAACTTGAAATTTTACAACATCGTTCAGTGTTTCCGTATCAAGTACCATAAGTGTGTCGTTATCCTCAGTAGCAAAATGATTGTTAACCTGGAATAAGGTTAAAACTTTGCAAAAATATTTCCAATTCAAAACCTTTGCAAATATTTCAAAGAAATAATCCATAAAATAGGCAAGTAGTATAAACACGCTATATATAAACGATAAAATCACTTAATCATTAGAAGAAACTCAGACCAAAAAGACTAATAAACGTTTTATGAGTATAGAAATGCTATCAGTCTTAGCTAAAAGCGAAGTGTTTTACTAGCCAATGGTTTCTCTGCTACAAATACTTCTTTAAAGAGAAACTTTACAATTTCTTCAACCGTTGCTGCTCTTTCTATATTTGTGATAGCCTTGAAACCTTCTTTTCTTTTCTTCTCTTCTTTTTTTGATTTCATTATTTTAACGGTTATCATATCAGATGGGTTCGCTATTCGCTTTGCATATGCAGCACCAAACTGTCGACAATTTAATTTCTAAAGTAATAAATTATTTCGCAAAAAAAAACATACAATTCTTTGACAAACAGCTGATTGCTTACGATAATCAACCCTTCATAATTATCATATCAGCAGTCTGTCATCGAAACAGCTTACCATAACATTAGTCCATGATTCAGGATAGGTTACTCGAAGGCGTAATAACGGGGGATAAGCTTGCTTTGCCGTTTTTACTTTTTCAGCTTCTGCCAACAATTTCTCAACTTCTGCTGCTATCACTTTTTCATCCTTAAAAATTTCGATATTTTCGATTCATAAAGAATATAAAGATCGTTGAAAAAAATGAAAACAAAAGGGAATGTATTTTAAACTCAAAAAAAAAACAGAGCAAACGAACAGGCATGTTTTTTGGTCGGCTATTCTTTGAAACTGTGGAAGGTGGCTCAACCGTAATTGTTAAATCAGCAAAAAGCATTTGCCGAGGTGTTTCCAGAGCTATTTTTTGAGAAAAGAACTTGCGTCCACTAATTGTTACAAGAGCAATATGCTTCGGTTTCGCTTCCTCTGGTGAAAACGCGGTAGCTATAGTACTACCTGGTTGTATTATGTAGAAACCTGGAACGTGAATGATTTATAACACGATGTATGAGATTTCCGGAAAAAATGGGATTTGAAACTAAGCAAAGTTGAAATTCCAAGACACTTATTAAACCTTACCATCGCCGCAAACATTAACACCACTTTCGTAATATTGTGGATCTGCAAACAATTAACATATTGTACATATAATGTAACAATTTGAAATACTTCTAACCAATTTTTCAGAAGCTAAGAGCTATGCATGAAAGGCCAAATGAATGGGGTGAAGAAATTTTAAGTTTACAATCACTATTTCAATTTATGTCAAAAATGGAACTATACTTCTAAGAAGTCTATATTTATAATTATTCAATGATTACGTAAAAATGATCATTTGTACAAGCACTCAGGAAGCAGCAACTGGAAGGATTAAAACACTTACCAATTTTACACTCATGCTCGTGCCCCCAAATAATGAGGTCAAAAAATGATGGAATAAGATTTTCGGGTAGATGTCCTCCAGTTGATCGTTCACGTGTTCGCACCGGTCGATTTTGATGTAACACTAATATATTAAACCATGATTCCGTATCTTCTTTGGGGCGTAAAAATCGAATCTCCTCTTCTAAAAAATAATTCAACATTTAAGAAGGTTCCAGGTACAAAACGTAAGACGAACTTTATTGTCAAATAACTAAAATGACCGGATAACTAAAATGAGAAGAAACTTCCAACTAATATCAGTTTAAGGCTTTAATCGAACCTCGAAATGCTCTACACAAACGATCATCCCGCTGACTGCCAATGCCATACAGCGCTAACTTTGTTTTTCCTTTCATCAGAAGTAACGGTGAAATAACAAATTTGTCAATGTCTTCAAATTTACCAAACAAGTTGAGGAGGCCTGATTCATGTAACACGTCTAACGCTGTTAAACCCTTCAAATTTTCTGATATTAAAAGTAGGCTAAAAATATGAACGACTAGAGCAGCACGTCAATTTTATATCATGAATGTCATTAACAACAATTTGGAGACATGTGAATTCGAGGTACCATATGCCAATGAATTGCGGGCTTTGAAGCAGTAATTTGATCCTCAATATGTACGCTACAATAAACGAAATTATAATAAATTACATTATCAAACTCAATTTTAACCTTTCCAGTGAGATCGTCATGGTTTCCATGTATTGTGAATATCGGTAAACCAACATTAATGTTCCTATCCTAAATATGAAATGTAATTCCATACACGAAAACTTATGAAAATTTAAGCCAAGTAAAGATAAGCGAAGCAATTTCACATAACATTAAAATATTATGTTATTTTTACAGACCTATTTTGTTAATATAAAAAAATTAGATAATTATTTAAATATAATAAAACGACGTCAACTAATACAGCCATATCATATTTGGGAATAGTGACGATAAGACGGAAAATTTTTGAATCTTGTAATTTTAATAATGTATTTGATATCAACAAATACTTTTATTAAAATTACAAGGTTAAAAATTTGCATTCATATTTAATGCAATACGATATAAAAGCTTTTTAAATGAGCATAATTAAAAAAAAAATTACCTCGTAATTTACATTGCCGAAGGCACTGTGTGCAAAATTTACAGCGGGATCACTCAGAAAGCGAAGAGCTACGGGACGATCGTTAAGGCAGTATCGGCGAAGCAATCGCGTCACGCGGTGCTGCATTTCACGAGATGGATTATTTTCGTGGTATAAGTCACCGCCTTAAATTTATTTCGTTCCAGATTCATATAATCAATTTTAACACCCTTTCATTTAGATATTAATGGATTAATGGATCTTAACCAGTCTCAAGTCCAATATGTTGATTGGAACTTTCGTAAACATGTCCACCACGCTTCCGTACTATTTGGTTGATGTTCATCATGATAAGATTATTTACAATCTTATGTTGCTAAGTTAGATTTTGAGATTTAATCTTATAGAATAAGGATTTTACCCTTATATAAATGTTTTTAGATTAAAATAGATTTAAAAAGGATAAAGATACCAAGTAAGACGAAATCAACTTCTTTTTTGCTAGCAATTTGCAGAACTTCTTCAAACGTTCTTATCGAATCTTCATCACGACCCAAAATCTTTTCCGCAAATCCTATATGCAAATCGGTAGCAACCAATACTCGCACCTTCAAAATAAAATTATTTTATACAATACACGAAACATTTCTTAACTCCGAATTATTACAACAATATGCACATCCCTAACTATTTAGAATAAAATTTGATAATTGATAAAATTATATAATCAACTAACATGGTCACTTTGCGGTGTTCCCTCGATCTGTGACGACTCCACAAATGTATCATCTGGTTCTGTCATTATTTCAGTAAAAAATCATAAAAATAAGATGATGGCTTCCAACTTCAAAAATACTAGATTGTCTATTTCGAAAATACAAATTCATTGTCATCGTACTCCACAAACGCTGAATAATACGCCACCAACCATAATTGTTGAATACAAGCAGCAATTTTAAAACCTTTAGTGAAATTTAAAGACTGTAACCTTTCGAAATTGAACTTGAAATGAGACAGCCAGTAGGACCAACACATTAAATAATGCAATGAATTCATAAAAGATAACTACGAATGAATCAACATGTGCCGGAATTCGGAAGAATTAAATATAGAAACGGTAAACAATGAACCAACAAGGTTAACTTCCACAGTATCAACAAAAATCCGACCAAAAAATTTTCTCATTGGAAATAACCGCAGATCAATCCAATCAATAATACAAAACTTTGCTCTGCTGAAAACACCATAACTTCGTTCTCACAAATCCTTTTAATCATCTAACCTTTAAAACAAATTCCAGAAGCTTTTCCTAATATTCGCACACAGCAATGCATGCAATCTGCTGACAGGATGAGAACTCCTCAACTTAAATTCAACAATCAAAAAATCCAACTGATAAAAAATTTTGTAAGAAAATCCAACAAAAATTTCCTTCCACCTCCGACAAAATAAGTAAATTTCTCCTCAAGTGATTGGGCTGATAACACACTCCCTTGAGTAAAGGACTTCGATTGGTTTAATTAAACCGGTGTTCATCCTGCAACACAATTACTTTTCAGGAGAAACATTTATGTAGCATTTAAATATAATGAAAACCAGGAACGAAACAATCACTTTTCCGCATGCAAACATCATCACAAGTCATTACTTTGTTCAAATAACAAAAAAAGAAAATCTACGCCATTAATTTCATGAAAAACAATTTATAAGACGACAAATCTCATTTGACGTTTCAATATCACCAACAACAGATAAGTCATTCAGTCATCGAAAGGGTGTAAAGGAACGGGATCATAATAAATTTCATAATAAAGTGTAAAGAGTCATAATAAATTTGCCACGGATTCTTCCAGATTTGTTTTACGTATCTAATAAAAAAGAACCTTAAAGATGCTAATACTATTCTCAAACTACATGTACTTCCCTATATGTTCTTCTGAATTATAGAAAATGATGTTTTATTGCTTTTAAATTTCAGAAGAAAAACATTGCGCATTAATATTTTATTATAAATCATTCTGTTAAAACAAAAATATTTTCATTCTGTTAAAAGAAAAAAAGTAACAAACATATTTAACAACTCCGATGAATAGAAAATAATACGGAAAAATAATAAACGATTGTTCGAATCAGAAAAGGACAAACAAAACATTCGGCTAGACATTAACGATGTTATTACGGCAATTATAAAACTACTAATACACGTAAAACTATAATATGCCAGCAAGAAAGCAAAATAAGCATTTCGAATACCGAAGAGAAATGGTGGCACTGTCCATCGTTTTATCCTTATCCAACTCAAATGCATTCTTTACACGCGTCCATTTTCATCGCTGAAAATGTTTTGAACTCTGAAACTTCAAGACTAGCCATACCTGAACGCTAGAATGAATACTATAACAGCTCAGATACTCGGTACAGTCATATTTTTCAGTGATTTATGTACTGTAATGTTATCTACCAATCCAATTATGATTATAAACTTTTCAGGGTACATCGTTAATTTAGGCTCTTTTCGAAATATTTGGGACTTAAAAAACTTGTGAGCAACACAAAATTTTAGCATAATATGCCAAAAAGAATATCATTTCATGCATGTCGCATATGTCGACTGCAAAATGTAAGCGTTAAATTTAACATTACAGAATGAAGATCTATTGTGCATTAAAATATAAAAGTTTATAAAAGATTACTCTGTGTCGGTCCCGGTCATCTCTTCTATCTCGATGTCTATCAGAATGGCGATCGTGGCGTCTGTCATCATCCCGCCGTGAACGTGGAGAACGATGTCGATACCTGTAATTAATAATGCAAATTACACTCTACTAATGGTAACTATTCTGTTCATGTAACCATTTTTATAACAAATATCAAAAATTTCATCAGCTTTCAAGACCTTGCAGATATCTCTAGCATGGAGTGATTTCGCCGTATTTTATTTCGCCGTACTATTTTAGACCTTACAAAGAGAGTTTAGTATCATGCGTACTATATCTTTTGAAAAGAAACAAATATTTAATGGGGGAACTATTTTAAAAGGAAGATCGATGTCAAAAAATGATAATAAACATACCCGCGATCTCTTTCGTCCCGTCTTCGATCTCGATCTTTATCTCTCTCTCTCTCCCTTTCACGATCTCTTTCTCTTTCTCGTTCTCTTTCATTCCGTCGTTCTCTGTCATCTCGCTCTTTCCTTCCACGATCTTTCCTTTCCTTATCTTCACGTTCTATCTTCCCCTAAATTATCGCAAATTAATAAAAAACTAATACAAATTTTGTACAGTAATATCATCGTAGTACCATCTGATTAAAAATTTGAACTCATTTCTTCACATAGACATAGCAAGATGTAACGAAGGTAGTAGAATAAATAAGAATCCACAACAGTCTTTGCTGAGTAAAATCTAATTATCAAAACTAAATGCAGTCCGATTAGCATTAAAGAACCAATTCTACATATAAACGAAATGAATAAAGTCTAACGCCACTATTGCCTACAAGCATTCTGATAAAATTTTCTGTTGTGATAAACCTTTCGTTTTTCTTCTCGTTTTCGATCCATTTCTTCGATTGTTGCTCGAATTCTTGCATATGCCATATGCTGTTTACCGGCATAATGATCATCTATTCGTTGCTGCACATCATTTACAAGCATGAAACATCCACAAACCTTGAATGAATTTTATTTTCAAAATAAATTTTATAAAAGCTTACTCTTCTGCACAGCACTATAAAAACATTTTCTATTGCTATCTCTTCTTGATTAATAAATTCCCAAGTCTTCTCGAAAAAATTAATCTTCCTCCAATTTAACCAATCTGATTGCCGAAATACACTACATAAAATATAAACTGTTTAACTAGAATAACGTAAATCAACCTGGCAAACTTCCATCGGTTTTGAAAGCTGATTGGCAAGATCCTCAATGTGACTTGTAGGATTAGCCGACTGCGCCAGCAAACGATCCAAAGCCGCACGCTCTTGCTTGAATTTATCTGCTTGTCGTACTTGCTCTTTCGCTTCATCCACTTTACCCAATGCCCCCAAGGCTTCGGCCTTTAATATTAAAAACAAACCAGTTACTATACTTACTGTAATGTTAAATGGCAGCATTAGCAGTGAAGCGAACGCGTTAACACAATAAAAATGATATGATGGGAAACCTGAGGTATACACGATTTGGCGTTTTGGCTCCAAAGCACGGAATTTGCTCACAAGTGTAGGAAGCCTAAAGAAAAAATTCCTTTTTAAAGGCATTTTAAACGCTTTTTCGCACCTAGAAAGACCTCCAATATGCAGGCAAGAAACAACAAAAATGGGCTTCCACCAGTGAGATTGTCGATTAGAGTACGGATACGCGAGCAAACTGATGTATAATTTTTGTAAACAGAGGCAAAAAGGAACGAGAATGGAGAAAATGATGGATGTAAGGCGAAGAATCTACTATTCAAAAACCAGAAAATGGATTTGAACAAATTTCAACAACGAACAACTTCATAATTAATATGAAATAAAGAACATACGGATGGAGAAAACATGAAGATAAACAAATGGCAGCCGTTTTCACAAAAATTTCTAAAAAGACTTTCGAAAGAAAAGAAAATTTTGAAGTAATACTCTAATGAATGTATCACCCTCGTTTATGATCACGGATGGTGTTAGCATTGGAGAAAAAATATCTATATGAGAAGTTGGGCTGATTTTGTATTGTTATTTTTACACTTTTACTGCGTCAACGGCTGCCAACAGAGGGAAGAAAAAATTACTTTTTCCATACAGTCGTTGATTTTGGCAGAGAGATTAGACTGTTGCTCAGCAATAAGCTCCTTTTGCCTACGTTGCGCATCTGTCTCGCCTTCACCGCCTTCTTTTGAAGCATCTGTAACTGATAATTAAAATATTTTTTCCTTGAAACTCGAACTTTAAATAAGAAACAAACTTATCGTTTGATCCGATATGTTGCGAATTTCTGAATTGCAATTTTGCTAACAAACCTTTAATGACCGGCTGTGTCATAGCAAGACGACGTTCATTCTTCTCAATTTTTCGACGCACTTCATCATCCAAACGACGAATTTTATTCAAAAATTCTTCCTCATACCCTAATTTCTCAAAACGACTGCTTTCACGATATTTTAGTCGTAAAGCTGGATCATGGATCTGTAAACGGATACTGATTGTATTGGTATATAGTGGATTTTTTTCCGAAATGTGACATGATCGTATTTGACTGATTTAGAACAACCTTTGGACAGAAACCAAGATCAGCTTTCGTATTCCTGAACATTTCATTTGGGCAGAATGCAACTAAAAAATTCTTGCACACATCAGGTTCATCGAAATCCGGCTCATCCGTATCGCCAATATCGGCGTTTCGCTTTACACCCATTAGTTCGTTTAGCATTTGTGCCATCTGTTCTGTGGCCGACATCTTGCCTACAAGACTATAATGCACCATAATCCAGAAGTTTAGTTCATGTCAAGCGTTGGATAAACACAAGAAATATTTATGCTTCTTATCTACAGCCTTTATCTACTGACATATCCTCCTATTAAGGTATATGAATTAATCATTTAACAATTACTGGGAACTTCATCCTACGAAAACTTTACAAATACCATAGAAATTCACGTATTCAGGTGTTCCAAATTATTCATTAGTCATCTAACATGGACCGCAAAGTCAGAAATATAACTAAACCATCTTGNCAAGAGAAATAACTGCAAAATTCATAAATATTACAGCATTTACAACGACTAGATTCTTTCCGATCTACTACATTATCCATAATACACATGTAGATAGTTTCGTTACCGACATCCTTCACAGAATGCTTTACTACACTTACGCATAAAAACTGACACAAAAGAATTTATTCACATCTTATTCAATCTTCTCCTTCTTCCTGATCTCAACAAACACAAAGAAGTAGTAAAAGAAGAAGGAGAAAACAGAGAATTGATACACATTTATAACTTCATTTAACATTAATTATAATTTAACAATGAAATAGCAATATACTTTTTATTCATTATGAACATCCTTATTTGCTTCCTACAATCCATAATTCATATTTCAAACCACTGAAATTATCAGTAAACAGTCAACACTCATCCAATGTTAGCCGAACAAATGAAAATGAGCTTACATTAGCCTAATAAAAAACATTTTGAACTTCAAGTTAAATTTTTAAAAACATTCACAATCATACAGGAAGCAGTGATTGGAGAAAGAATCAATCATCAACAAAATTTTGTTTCCCAAGCCATTATATACAAATCAAAACAACTATCAAACGCTTATTAAAAAAATTAACAATAGATTACAGTGTTTTTAAAACTAAGCTAATGACTATCTAGTCCTTAGGATATTCCTAAGGACGGACGCCAATCAATATCAGACTATCGGAGCATGAGCACACTATCAAAGAAAATTTGATCCAAATTTTAGTATTACAACGAGATGCTAACCATAAGGTAAACTCCTCTCATTGCAGACTTTAAAGATAACAACTAAGGAGGGAAAGAAATATTATAATTTACAAGAATTTCTTGGTAGCAAGATCAAAATTTATAATTACCGACAGGTTAAATAAATAATATACAAACGACAAAATCACCGTTCACCGTTGTGAATCATGACGACTTGTAAGCAAAGACAGTAGCAAAAATATAAAATACCTACCTGCAGAATGTGAAGATGTATAAAGTTTACAGTATGTACACCGAACATAAATAATAGAAGAAGCAAACTATACATAAACAATAAAAAGTAACAAATGAATTTATATTACACCTGATGATCTTCCTACTACTATGTATGTGTTATCATTTCGAGCACCAAGTGCAAGAAGGCTCTAATCCAACTTCTCTCATCCAAACAACTGCTCAAATTCCCTTTTTCCTATCTGTATAAAAATTCAGAAAGACAAAGTTTCTCAATCAATTATTTCAATATTTTAACATATGAAATAGAATTTTTGAAAAATGCCATGAAGTAAATGAACAATAGTTTTTTAGATCATCAGATTTAAATCTATTATAGAAGGGCAACTGGCGTTTAGCGTCGCATTAATAAATACAGCTGATGTTTCAGAAGGTGTCACCATCAACAGCAACAACAGATATCAATACAAACCAAAATAAAATTTGCATTTTCTAATGCAACTTTACAAACATTAAATGCAGAATCAAATATTTACATATAAATGTGTAAAGTATATGATGCATTATAACATGCAGGCTGACAGCGACACTTTTTTGATGAATTGAAAAAAAGGCAAAGATTAAATTAAATCACTAGTGGAGCATTGCTTTATGCTGTCTAATCCGACCACCGCAATATAATGAAAAGAGAATAAGACTGTATAGTATATCCACATACAAGCGAATCATCATGAGAGAGGTAAAGTGCTATGTGCAGGATCTTGATTTGACAAGGGAATTATATTAATGTGAATTACTTTTTCTGTATCCGTGGTTGGAAGGTATCGAATATTTGGAGGTGCTGAATAGGCCTGTGCATATTCGTCCATTGAAGCATGGAATCCATTAGAACCCAAAGAACCATCTTTGATAAGCAATGCTGCTGGTACCACTCCACAATCTTGTGTATATGGAGATAGTGGATCATCTACAAATAATACAGTACAATAAACATCTTAATTAATCATTTTACTTGGCGTGAAAATGAAAAACTGAAGAACCAGAAGAGCAAGCGAAAACTTATTTCGTAAGACCACTGTGTTATAAAAGTTATAAAATGTTGCTTGATTTTTTTGTTAACATATAGCGATGCAATGGAATTACAGACATACAATAAAAAACTAACTTGGCGAATTTTTTGGTAGCACGGTATTTTCAAATTTTAGATCAGCGGCGTAGGACATGAATAATGTATTGGCACGTTCATAAGCACAGCCAGAAGTGATACGGCCATCTGGTTCCATATCCCACATATCTTCAGCTGTTTTCCATAAAACACCACCAATCTGAAATTGTGTGAATAAAAACTCCAGAGACTCTCGGATAGCCAAGATTAAAGCGAAACCGCAAAGTATAGAAATATGTGACATAAAGGGAATAAAACAGCAACTATTTCTTCATTGGATTCATTGAATTTCAAAAAGCAAACATTATGTTCGATGACTGCAGCACGGATACTTGGTCGTTTTTTCTCCACAGCAACAACTCGTCTCATATCATGCAATGTTGGCTGCATTCCAGCCTCTGTTTCATACGGTCGTTCGTATTCTCCCACTACGTCATCTAAAGCATCATAAGGGATCTAACGTATAAAGGAGTGACGTAACATATACGAAAACCTTCCATAAAAAAGTCCACTTTAATGGAAAATTTTAGAAATAGGAACCAATGCAACTGCATGACAGATTTTCAAAAATTGACAACGCGATTTGATTTTGATTTTAGTAAGAAATCGATTCCATTGATTCAGTAACAAGTTTGAATACTCGAAAGTAATCGTTTGTAAAAATCAATTATTAACAGAATATTGAATAGCTTTTATTTCACATTTAATAATCTAGTCAATAGTTTTTCACGTGCGCAACGAAGTGATACGGCATAAATCTGAAAGCTTACCTTTGTCCATTGATGTTCGCGAAAGAATCTCCCATAAGACCAAAGCAGCAGCATATACATCAATCTGACGGAAAGCAAAGGCTGTAAATTCTGTAGCACCTTCTAATACTTCAGGTGACATGTAACGTCGCGTTCCCACCTGCAAATTCAACACTCAAAGTTTTTGTTCTACAAAAAGATTAGTGAATCTCAAAATTTACGAAAAAACTACGTAGAAATTTATCTGTGGAACAGATGGTATACTACTGCTTACCTGTCCATGATTATCATCTGATGGCATTTGACCGTTTTCACATTTTAACGCTAGACCAAAATCAGCGATTACGGAAGTTAAATCGAGCTTTAAAAGTACATTTCGCGATTTGAAATCCCTAAAATTTAACAAATTTACCAAAAAAGTAGAATAGATGAACATAGAAGTGCACATTTTCTGAACCCTTTAAAAGACTTAAATAAATTTTCACCAGGTCTATCAAATTTCTGTTTAACTGTTTGAGAACTGCCCGAATGATTTATTAATGTTGTGACCGAAACTTCAGTTAACAAATTTTTTAAAACTTCCGATTAAGATGTTACGAGAACCCGGAAAAAAAATGTGACAACTTATGATGATGGCATGTGAATGAAAATACACTTGCCGATGCACAACACAAGGTTTTAGCTCGCCGTCGATCATTTTTTCTTCATGAAGGAAAGATAATCCTCTCAGCATTGAAGCTATTACTTTCAACGATTCTTGCAAAGTCAAGACGCGAAACTGAAAGATGGTGAAGTACAAAAGTTCTTAGACTATGCAAATTGGGCGATAAAAACTTCTCACAGAAAAAATGGGAAAAATTAGAAAGAAGAAGTTAAAGGATACACTTTAAAAGACTTAAATAAATTTATCGGTCCTCAATAAACTGAGGACCGATAAATAAACATTCTAAAATGCTAAATTGCAGGCACTAAGACATTTCCAGATTTAAAAAGAAATTTGCTATTGCAATAAATTTATTGAAGTTATTTGAATGATATCAGTAATTGCTAAAACTAAGACCAATGAAATCCAATGAATTTAGGATATTACAGAAATATTAAAAAGTTCAGCTTACATGAAGAAAATCAAACAGCGAACCGTTATCATGGAATTCTGTTATCAACCAGAAATCGTTTCCATGAACTTCCGCGCCCAAATATCGTAGTATATTTTTATGTTTTCGAAGAGAAGCTATTGCATAAATTTCCTGCAATATGATGTATGTGATGGAACTTCGGTAGAGAAAAGCTTAAATTACGATCTTTCTTCAGCTGCTGTTTGGCTGTAATTCCAATTTTGAGCAGAAAAAATAGAATTTTACAGAGTTACAAAAGATACCGGAAAGAACGGAAAAGACATTTCGAACCTGTTCAACAATCCAACTATTCACATCAGCAGATGGAAAAACTTTTACTGCGACAGTTTCATTGTCTAGCACACCACGAAATACTTGACCAAATCGACCGCGAGCCACTAACTAAATCAATATAGAATTAAATCAGAATAAAACAAAAGCTCCTTAATACCAAAATTCAGAGTAAGATATTGCGAAGATACCTTCGTCTTACGACTCACCTCTATTTACAACTATGAGTAGCGTTCACGAGAACAGATGTGACCAAGTGAATATCTACAGATAATACACCTTATATTGATGAATGACAAAAACTGCTTTGTAATGTTCTTACTTATGCTAGCATCTTCATGCAAAGTAAGAGAAACTTAGAGGTAAAGTGAAGCACACAATGCATCTTTATCAAAATATTAAACAATTTCAAAACAATTCACATATTAATCTACACTAAGCAATAGTCAATGCAAATTAAAAATGTTGAAATTGGAGAAGAAACGTACTTCAAGGCTGACAATATTTTTTAGATTATCATCTTTTCTGGCTCCAATTAACGGTAACTTCGCATCACCAACGATGGGCATCGAAAATGCATCACTGGCCTGTACAGAAAAAGAAAGATATTTTAAGCATGCAATGGTTTCTGCCCACCATACTTTAACAGCACTATTCTGTCCAATACAATGTTCTGTAACATTAAAGTGGGAGTAAAAAGAAGTCAAGCTTAATTAATTATAACCTTGTCTTTATAATGTCGACTATTTTGGTATTCTCGATAACTATAGTAGCAGAACAAAGCCAGTGCACAAAGAGAAAAGAAGCCAAGAAT